GATGCGAACGGGACTCCAGAACGGATCCCGTTCGCATCCAGAGGTACCACTGTAATTTGGTATAAGGGCAACTTCCTATGTCATTGGCTTTACTTTATTTTCCTATGGCTGTTGGCTACTCCGCAACAAATAATTTAAATTTATGCAAAAGTAGGCTAATTTAACATGTCCAATTTGCATGTTCACATCTGCATATATTTGCAAGCTGTGTTGCCCAGATTTATGGGGCTGCATTGGCCCTAGCCAATGGTACCCAGAAATGGAAGAGTAAACGGTCTGTGTGTTGTGCAATTTCATATGCAAGATTCTAAGAATGAAAGCTGGTCCTTCCATAATTTGATAAGGTGTTACAGGGTTTGGCTTTCCAGAGAGTAGGGCCAAAGGCAATAAGAGCAGTTGGGGGGAACTCGGCTTTTTGAAATAATCATGTCCCTGTTCTGTGGAAGATTCATGCCATTTGACTCTGTTACATACCATTTATTAAGCCAAGTGGTTTCAGGATGAGCAGAATTTACAACATTTTCAGTAGCGTACAACACAGGAGGGAAGCTTTAAAACAGACTTATTGCACAACTTCCCAGCTGCAGATACCTATTAAAATCAATAAAGCAGCATGTCAATAATGTTTAAGGATCCCCAATGACAGACAAAAATTGGACTTCTGTTAATGCTTAGAATTTGTTGTGCCTTTTATATAACAAGACTTTCACAACTAACATTGGATCCTCATATCATATAATCAGTGATTTAGAACGTTTGGCAATAATAATAGTTACAGTTTACCCTCCACCAAAGATCTGCTAGCTTTGCTAGTAAAATGTTCCTAACAGTACAAATGCAAGGTAGAAGTAATAGAATTATAAACAGTTCTGTAACTAAAAATTAAGGGCTTGGGATTCTTTGACTGACAAATAGTGCCATGCAAGTCACTTTCCTTGATGATAAAAATTATGAAGTGTGTGACAGAAAAGAATGGTTTAATATCCAAGGATTATATCAAGCACAAAATGGATGATGAAAATAAACCAATCTTGCGCACAGTGGCATAGCTACTTCTATTAGCATGCTGACGAATTTCAAGCAACTAACTTTCTTGTCTCTCCAGACTGTCTAAGTTGCATTTGATTTTTATCTCTTTGGTTGCTGCTAGATCCTTACCCTGAGAGCAATTCCTTTACCCACACATTTTTATTACCGGGGGGGGGGGGGGGGAGCCCCAAGCTATACAGAAAATATCCTGACAATTTTCAAGCACATCTCGAAAAGACAAAATGTCTCTTTGTGATATTTAGGGAAACAAAATACTTTCTCACTGTAGTTCTAGTTATATCAAGAAGATGTAAAGGGGGCAAAAAAACCCTATAATCTTATTCAGAATCTGATCTATCAGGTCCTTAGACTTCAGAAGACATGTTGTATGCTGACAAGTATACATGATCCTATATACCAAAATGAAGACGTTCATTCAGTGGACAGAAGCTGATCTTTCTGAGCACTGAAATACATTTTTAAGGTTTAATCCAAATGATTGGGAAATTACCACTTTCAGCTCTTCAGATAACAGTTTTAGAAATCTAACCATTAGCAGAAAGGCTAATTTATACAGTGGAAATTGCTTAGCCACACACCTCAAACACTTGGCTGCCTCAGTGATGTGAAAGAATGAGCCCTTTGCACCCTTGTCACTTTTCAGTGATGGGGATGCCACACGCACTGGTATGGTTCTTCCACCCAGTCTGGAATGGTCCACAGGGCTTAAAGGGGAATGCATATCATAGGCATACAGAAGGTATGAGCAAATTACCCAGAGCAATCTTCCCATAAGGCAGCTGTGGAACAACAAAGTAAACTAATCACACACATCTAGCTTGACGGCCACTGGCAGCCCTGCATACTTCCTGCTCCCAGGTGCTTGTGCAGATGTGAATGGCTTACACATGTTGCTCACAAATAACACAACTAGCAGCGTGGAACTGCTGCAACTACAAATCTACTCAGTTTTGTACATTATTATTCTGCTATTCTGCAAGCCCAGGGGAACAGTCACGCCTTAAAGAGTACCAGAATGAGCCAGCAGGGTCCCCTCCCAACTGCAGCTGTACCATTTATACTCTAACATGCCAACAATGTACCTAGTGGCTTTACCTATTCCATGATGTGGGATAAGTAACTATGCATTCCTCTACTCTGTAAGAAGCCTCATTTCCTGGTAATGTTCAGTGGGGCAGTGTTTCACATTCCTTTGGTCAGCTCAATTCCAATTATATATCAAAGCAAAACTAAGCCAAAACTTTGGGGTCGTGGTGGATAGCTCAACTGAGATGTCAACCCAGCATGCTGCAGCTGTGAAAAAGATGGCAAAGGCCTTACTAGGGATCGTTAGGAAAGGAATTGAAAATAAAACTGCCAATATCACCTGGCTGCCTCACCTCAAAAAGGATATTGTAGAGTTGGAAAGGTTGGAAAAATGAGACTTTTATAAAAAGCATGTATACTCTCATGTACAAAAAGCTATCATATGAAACAGGGCCAACAGTAACTAGCAACCGATGCAAGTATCAATATGTTACTTTCAGCTACTGGGGGCAATGAGAATACAACCCTCTTTTTGTTCAAGCCTGCTGATCATGGAGAGCATCATTTGCCCTGGTGTTCAAATCTAGCAAGAACCTTGCATTGATGGAGACCTGAAACAATACAGCTTGCTCAAGTCTTCCAAATAAAAACTTGGAGGGTGCAAATTAGCAGCCCTTTAGACTTTCCACTCTGCAAAGCTAGAGACTGACATGATAGTTAAATGCATTTATATCTGTGTTTTCTTTAGCTTTTCTCCAATGACCCTGTAATAGAAAGGAAGCCCAAAAACAAACACTAGTCTAAGGCCAGACCAAAAATGAGACAGAAATATAGAGCAGGTGAGAAAATTCAAAACCTAAGCAATTAGAATATGAGCAACAAACAGAGAAATGAAACAAACAACGAAACAGGTGAGTAAAAATCAAGGATTTATTATTTAGCCCACAATTTGTTAAAATGACAGAATTATTAGAGACTACTCTTAATGATGAAAATTAATATGGTTCTACTGCTAAGAGATTCACAACGGATACTTACTTAGCAGTTCTCCCCAGGGGCACTTTGTCATATCATTTCAAGGTCACGTAACTGAGAATCTGATGGGTAATTACAAGCCTGTGGTGAATGAACCAATAAATCCAAATCTATTCCTTCAGAGACAGGGGTACAAATTCCTCCAAATCACACTTATAATTAAACAGCACCCTATAAATTCAAAAGACAACATAACTTTCCTATCAGAGAAATGATCTGGTGTATAATGAATTTGTCTCATGTTCCTATGAATGATGTAATCAGAGGAGACCAAGCAACATCAATTGGGTGGTGAGATTTGTATTACATGTTTAGGACCTTCTGCAGAAATTTTGTCATTCAAACTGGAAAGAGAAAAGAGTCTGGATATTCTTCTCCATGAAAGTGCTGCCAGTTATTGAGCTCAGGGGAGTTTAAAAAGAATGATGTGGATCCTGGAAGATAGCTATTAAAGTAAAAACCCTGCCAAATATTCTGGTGCACAAGCAGAATCTGCATGCACGCTTTTGGATTGCAGCCAGTATCAATGATCTCTTGGCAAAAGTTGGTGTAAAATCCTATGAAGTGAGTATTGCGGACTAGAATGTAGTCAGCACAAATATAACATCACAGGGAAATCAGTGGAGAATTTGGTTCTAAAAACATGATGCAGTTGGAGGAAACCTAGAATAAAAAAGGGCACATCTGCAAGCATGAATCAGAGAGCATATGTTATCACCATCTGTTCATTTTTCAAGTGCTGTAAGCTAACCAACAAATCCCTGCATTCTCACTACTTTTCTGTGATTGCATAGCCAACTGACGATGCAGCGGCTCTACAGGAAAGAACCTAAAATGCCAACAAGAACCTTTTCACAACTAAAAAGAACACACAAACTCTTATACAGTACACACACACACACACACACACACACACCCTCTTTTAGGAAGGAATCACTTTTTCATTTAAAGCCACTGTACAAAAGTATCCTTCAGGAAAAAATGGACATTTTAGATCAAGTAAAACATACTGTTTTCTTCCACCTAACTGGTAATGAATCTCAGTACGCCTAAGGAAAATGCTTAAAGACCTCAGAGCAACTTTATATTTTGTTTCCTACGTAGAATAAACTGATAATAAAGGTTACTAATTTCTATTGCTAAGAGTGAATGGGATGTTCATGTGAGAAGTTAGTGGCTGTGCTCCAATGCTTAGTTTAGAAAGCACAAATAAAAAAGTTACTTTTAATTTCTAAACTTTATAAATTTTTAAATATGCAACCCTAATCTAGAAATCCCACTTGCTTTATGAAGTGCTATATTGTCCACATTGTCTGAACACTGATTCTGTTGCTTTATGAAGGTCTGAAGAAACTGTAGAAACTTTGAAATGAAAAACTGCACCCACTCTCAATGGTTACAATAAATTGACACTTCTGGATATTTAAAAATAAAAATAACAATCATTGCTTGCAACTGTTAAGAATCATTGTTTTTCAATTTGCAGGATTTCAAAGCCTATGACCCAGTTCAGACATAATAATAAATAATGTTTTGTTATATACACACGTCTCATAACAATATGGAGGTGTGGGCATGAGGAGATTAGAAGTATTGGTGCCAATACTTCAACATTTCAATTAACCACAGTTTATTGCCCCCAAAACATTAACCATGGTTAATCTCAACTATGACAAGTCAACTTCATAAAGTATGGCTTGAAATTGGCTTATTTGAACTAACTATACTGGAGACTAACCATAATTTGTCTTGATTCAGACATAACACTTAACTGCAGCAAGTCCAAAATGGAAGTGAACCCTTATGAGGTCGTCCTTCTCTCATCTGCACTGAAGAAGACAAGAGGAGAGGGGACACTGCATGTGCCAGGGTCTACCTGTAGGTAATTATTGTAATGATAAACCAAATGAACAAGGTGTGTGATGTGTGTGTAACTGTATACTTAATTTTACAGCTGTGTGTGATCATTCCAAATTTCCAGATAATAGGAGAAAATTTTGTGTGTGTGTGTGTGTGTGTGTGTGCGCGCGCGCTATTATCACTAGTCCCAGTCAAGTGCTCCTAACACCATATTATGTCTATTTCCTAGCATAATCAATGAGGGAGGGATAAACCTTGATATGGGACAAATAACAACGCTGTGTTTCCTTTCAGCAAAAATCAAGGGAGACATGCACTGTAGGTCTGGAAAGAAGAGCTACCGGTATACTTTTTTTCCCTTAAGAAAATCAACTGAAAGAACTATGCTGTGAGAGAAGGCAGGGGGAGCAGATGGAGGACCCCCTGTTATTTTGCCAACATTTGTTGTTTACTGGACAACACAAGTTGCCAATTGCTCCAATGGATGCACCTGGGGAATGTTCTTCCTAAAGATATAATAATATCTGAATAATATCAGGATAATACTACATCCTAACTACGGTATATAATGAACAGAAAAAAACATATCTATATTAGTAAGGACACAAAATGGCACAGGGTGAGGGGTGGTAATGATGTTCCCAAGAACTAGCCAACTGACCTAACTACACTGTTGTGCAACTACCTTCCAACCAGCACTATTACAATTTTACTAGTGTAAAAGGATGCATTGTTGTAGCAACAAAAATATTGTTCTTTGAATTCCAGAATATATGATAGCCCTGCAACAGTAATTGAACCTTGAGTAATTCCTTGAGGAAAACTGTCCCGTTTTCACACAACTACTGAGTAACGACTGCATAATTACTGCTATTTGTGGAGGGGGAATCTGAAAAGTGCCCCAAGCACAACTTTTCTACTATCTGGCATCATCCTGCTTCATGAAATTACATGCAAATTGCTTTAATTAAATGCAACTAAAATATGCCAGTTAGCTATGGCCCTTCAGCTCATGATATTTACATATCCAGATGTGGTCCTCATTTCTCAATAAGCTGATCTGCTCCTGACCTACAGAATAGCTGTTCTACACAAGTGAAATTATCTCAAGCTTGAAAAAGCACTATTCTGCTGCTCACACTTCTGCGTGAAAGCAGAAATGTCTAATGTCAGATTCTAAAAATGCAGGAAGCAGGAGTATTTCAATATATCCCAGCTCTTCATATGCCACTCTAACCAAGGACGCTATCAATTTACATCAGTGTGGAGAAGAAGCTAACACTTGTTTTGCCTTGTCTGTTTTCACAATTCCAACTTTTTACTGCAAGAGAAAAGAAAATATAGCAAAATATCCTGCACCAATCAAATCCACTCTACTGTCCTCTCTGGTAAGCAGCATGAAGTCAGGGTTAGGGATGGTAAGGTTTCCATATGTCCTCTTTTTCCAGGACACGTCCTCTTTTTCATGGGCAGAATTGTCATAGCAATCCATAGTTAAAAGTAGAAGTCAGCAAATGTGTTCTTTTATTGCTCTTAAGATATGGCAACCCTATCAGTTCTGGCCCACATCCTATCCACATATTGGTCTGGGAAGTGTGGATCAGGTCAGTTTTTATCAGACTCCACCAAGATCAGATTCCTCAAGCATCCCTAATTCGGGATGAGTGGTATGGAGGGCCTAATCATGCTGGGGGTTGTGCAGGGAATATGGAACCTTTTGGCCCGTTTGACAAGGTGAAGGCCAAGGGGCCCAGTTTGATCTGGAATAGAAAACAAGTGGCTTTATTGTTTGTCATTCAGCAGATATCATTGGATTTTTCGTTCTGATCCAAGCCAAGCCAAACCTGGGTTGAGAAGGGTGGGGAGAAGGTGCTTTCTTTGTGTCTTTTGAAAATAGGTGTTTGATAAAGCTTTATCCCAATTTGTAGCCAGTATTAGCTTGCTCAGATTCAGATGAAAGGTAAAGAGGAATTACATTTTATATACTTTCTTGAATTACAGTAACAGGCATTTTCAATATTATGAAGCCTGTCTCCATGCTTGAATAGCCATAGTTTGAATTAATTAAGGGTAATCTTGAATTATCCTCTGTCACAATGTAACATCATAGGCAAAATTCTGAAAATTTAACAAAAAAGTGTCTTTTATACAACACAGTTACAACAAAATCAATTACAAAGTAAGCAAAACATTTAAAACAATATTGCTGTCTTTAACATTTAGTGGTGTGACTAGCGTATCAGATGTTATTTTGCTTGTATAAATTGCTACTTCAAACCAAAATTTTCAGCTGTAAATTGAGAAAACGATATGCTGTATGACCCTGAAATCACTTGACATTGGCGAGTTTTTTTTACAAAAATAATCCAAAATTAAATCAAAGCTTCAAGAAAGCAATAAAAAAATAATGAGGAACTGATTATCATTGAGTAATTGCTCCATTTTTAATTGATTTACAAATTTCCTTAAATTATACAGAGGGTCAGCATACCAGATCTTTTTTTCCTGCTGCCAGACTGATCGTCATCTAGACACAGACTCCTTGTCTCTCAGGTATATGTTTTCTTGTCTGGATTGTTCAAATAATCATGAATGAAAAGTAGTCTTGTAAACAGAAGATCCAAATAATCATGTGAATGAATATTGAAATCACAGAGTAAGAACTACACAGCTTTCTGCTAACAACCCTGCAGTTAAGAACAGAACCACTGTAATGAAGGTACCTCCAACTCTTAACTCCCCGAGTTCTTCCATAAGAACATCATGGTCAATGATGCTAAAAGCTGCTGAGAGGTCAAGACCTGGTGCCCAAACCAAGTCTGAAACCAGACAGGAATGGATCTATACAATTCTGCTTCCTCCAGGCAGTGGCGTAGTGAAGGGGGGGGGCATGGCTCTGAGTTGATGGGGTGCAACCAGGTACCACAATGACAGGCTCCCTCATCAAGGCCAGAGCTGTGGGGAAGCAAGTTGCACTTTGGCTGGGCCTTTGGGGCTGGGACAGTGGTGCGGTGGCCCCTTCTTCTCATGGCCAGCAAAGGGACGCCTGCGTGCGCCCTGCCCCTGGGCCAGCCAAAAGGGAGGGAGGGAGGGAGCAGCCATCGCCACCACCCACCAATGAGGGAGGGAGGAAGAGGAAGGCAAGAAAATACTGCCAGAGCCACATGCATTGCCCAGAGTGCCTCACTGCAAGGACAGCAGAACAAGGCCACATAGCGACGCTCTTGGCGTAACGCTTCTCTGCCTTATCTCTGCTCCCAGACTGGGGATAGTTTGCAAGGAGTGACTCCCTTGGTTAGAAGCTGGCTGGCAAAGGGACTGACTGCTGCCCAGTCCACCAGGGGGGTGCAACACTTGCCCTGCTCCGGGTGGCAGCCACCCACGCTAAGCCCCTGCCTCCAAAGACTGGCCACCATCCTCTCCTCTTGGAAAGGAATATTAGAGACTGGACAGTAATTTTCTAAAACTTATTGATTCATGAGGACCTGTTCAAGAGGGGCCACACCACTGTCTCTTTCAAGCCAATGGGCATAACTCCCTCCCATAATGAAGCATTGATCACTTCCTGGCTTCTTAGTAGATTTAATCAGCCATGATTGCCAGAGATCAAGAGGCCACATTATTGGCCTTACAGCCAGAGGGTGTGGATAGGACATGTGGCAGCAATGACTGCTCCAGTCTAAAGGACCTGAACGAATGGTGGTACCAAGTTCAGCATAGATTCAAGTGATTTTGCCCTATAAGTACTATGGTATTTTCACATGTGGATCTTTGAAGACCTAGATGGCACCCATTTTAGGGTAGAACTGTAAAACGGAGAGCTGCAGGTGCAGCATCCTTAGTATTGCCCTACTTTTAATGGGTGCTCATAGGACACTCTTGCTGAGTCCTTATGGTTCTGTAGTCCTTTATGACTGGAAGAGAGAAATTGGTTACAGAGCTGGGTGGGAAAGGAAGGAGTGCAAGAGGGAATGGGTAAGAGGATGGAGAGGCAGTGAGTCGTGCATAGCAGAACAGAGGGTGGGCATTATTCATCAATAATTATTTGCAAGGCTGCTTATTAATGTGCACAGATACTTTCAAATTTGTTTGGAAGGTTTTCCAAATATTGTACCAACATTTAGGCTGTGATCTTAAGTGTACCGACTGAAACATAAAAGTATAAAAATCAGGATGCCCACCATAAAAGCACAAATAAAGGAAAGGTAAAAAGGCATTCTATTTTGTACTCAAATTATATCAGACTATTCCAAATGAGTACAGGTAAACAAAGAGCTGAATTTAATTCCACTAACAGTAAAAATGACTATGTTAATCTGTTAGTGCTTCACATAAGCAAATGTTTTATCTTGTTATTCTAACAAAGCAAAGCAAGATGTTCAGAACTTAATCCGGAAATGGAGCAAAAATTAACAGCAGATGAAATTTAAATGCAATGTTCATGAAAATCTGTGTTACATTAAAAATTGCTTTTCTCAAGTTAACCTTTCAACAAGCATGACAAAATTGGAGAATGAATCGGCTCATTTCAGACCACAGCAACAGTAGTTGGGTTTCATTAGTATACATTAGGTAATATGCAGGCCTGCAATTAACAGTTATTATTAACTACAGGGTAACACAAGATGGTGGTGGTAGTGGGGACAAGAAACAATTCAACCTTGTTACTAGTCAAACTCCAGATATGCCTATCAGAGCACTCGTTGCACAAGGAAGCTGGAGAAAATAAGGTATGCCATGTCTGGTTGAAGAAGCCGTGGGAAATATCTCATGGTGTCTTCATTAAAGGAATGTGGCAACAACATTCTAGCTTTCATGACCAGTTTCAGGGAGTCATTTATAACCCATCCTCTTAAAACACTAGTGGAAATGGCACAGAAAGCCAGCAAATATGTCCCCTGGCACCAATCAAATTCATTTTGATAAATTACATTTTCTCCTACAAAGGAACTGTGATATAGGTTTCCCATTGGTCCCTGCAAGTCTTGTAGATTGTACCATACTTTCACTACCATTTCACTTAGGAAAATGGTTCTTGTCTCACATTTTGCTCAAGCAGCTAGTCCCACATACTTCAAGAACTGTTCCTAAAGATGCCAGCTCAGTGGCTGATGCTCAGCTGAGCCCCTGACAAATGCTCACGTCTATGCTCAGAAACCAAACTGCTATTAACAGGCTACATGAC